GAAAAATTATTAGGTGAAGAAACTTGTTGTGATTGACCGCGACCACCAAAGGAGCCTCGACCTCTTCCTCCACGACCCCTTCCTCTAGATGAGTAAGACCAACCTCTGCCACGAACCCCTTGAGATATTGATTGATTACCAGAGACAAAAGAGGAATTAGGAGTCTAGTTCTTTGAGGCGCTGCAACCGTTGCTCATGAAGCAAGAGTTTGGTACGAAGTTCTTCAAGAGATAGTTGGCCTGGATAGTGTGTAATGATGCCAATTAGTGTGAACAACTAGTTTTCGACCACGCTCAAATTCTATACTATTTTAGTGTAAATATGTGTTTTATGTCTAATCTTGATATTTTAAACATTTATCTCACTTTTAGTAGAGTTTATAAAAACTACAAAAATATTCACACTTTTAAAATATAGATTTTGTTTCTATTTGTAAAGAGAAAAAGAAATTTTTTTAAAAAAAATTATTTGGTTTCATATAATTAGAATTTTAATAAGTAAGCTATAGTATTTTTCTTAGTATAATTTAAACTACAATGTAAATATTTAGTTTTCTTATGTATATAATATTTAAGTATAAAAGTAGCTGACTAATATTTTTAACTATGCAATTTACTTTCTCTAAAAAAAAAAGAAAGTAAAAGTTAATTTATAAAAAAAAAAAAAAGCAACTAACAAAAAGAAACAAAAAAAATAACAAAATAAACAATACAAAAGATCTATTCTAATCTTAGTAAGCGGCCTATACAACCATAATCCCCATTTTTTCAAACTCCCCACGTCCCACTCCTCACGTCCCAACTATCCCCTCAATCTAATCCCATGATCATACACACATACGGGTAGGACTTTAGGATTTTTCATATAAATAGCACACACTTGCACTTGCTTAGGGGGGATTTTTTGGAAAAGAATATAAAAAGTGAGGAAGAAACAAAGAAGATTGAAAAGGAAAAAAGGAAAGAAACGAGATTAGAAAACATGAGCAATTTGATAAGACAAATTAGCAACTAAGAGAAAAGAACACTCTTCTTTTAGAGTAAATGGATTACTTGGAGAGGAAATTATTTAGGAGAAAGATTCTGCGAAGGAGGTTTCGTTCGAGATTGTTGAAGAGTTAATGTCTTTTAACTCTGGAATTACTAGACCGTAGCTGTTAGCTTTTTGAACTCTTCGCAAAAGGTTCCTTCTCCTCTTCTCAGTAATTTTAACCTATCGCGGATGTATTCTCAAATGTGTTTATCTGCTTTGCTTAAAAGCCATATATTGCGCCGTTTCATTGTTGTCGATTTCCTTAATTTAAGTAGTTTAATGTTATTGCCTACTTGTATGTTTAACCTGTAGCTCATTAGTTTCGCTTTCATGTTTCTTTTAGCTTGTAGTTTCTATGTTTTCTTGGATAGTTTTGATAATGAGTAAAGAAAAAAAAAAGAAGATTTTGTTTGCAGTAAAGTTCTAAAACTCCATTCTCGATAGCATTAAAGATTGAAACCTCATGTTCACCTATTTTATTCATGAATGTCTTAACATTATGCTTCTGTCAAATTTTTTTTAAAAAAAACATATGGTTGCTTTACCGAGATGTTTGGATGATTAATAAGTATTTAATTTTTTTTTTGTAAAGTATTTAGTATTTGATTTATAATGTTTAGGCATCATGGATTGTTTTATGCCAATTTGATAAACTAATCTTACTTTCTTGTTTTTAAAAAGAAAAAAAGCTTTTGGATGTTGTTTAATAATAATAATAGTTAAATGTTAGTGCATCAATTACTTTAGCCGTAATTCTCAAATTGCCGGAAGATCACCGAATTCTTAGTTGCCTCTTTTCCTCAACTGTTAACAAGTTATGATTTGAAGTTAATAAGAGAATGAATTGATTTACGTCACTACTTTATGCAACTAAGTTTTGGGCCTAGTTTAATTTAGTAATGGGTTGCTGAATTTTCTTTTCTTTTTTTTTTGAAAAAAAACAAGAAGGTAAAGAGATTTTGGCCTCGGAAGTATTCTGTTAGGCACACGTCTTTAAGTAAAATAAAGATAAGTTAGCTTATTTCTTTCATGTTGAATAATGACGTACATACTCCAAAAGTTAAAATATTTCTTGACTTCCAACAACTTCATATTCCATAACTCATGGTCTTACATTTAATTCAAAAATTAAGATAACTCATAAATGCGTTAGAAAAGTTTTAGACGCACTTTAAATATTAGATCATGTGTTCATACCCGAACCTTGGACCGATATACTTGAATAATAAAAGGATCATGTGCGCATTCCTGCGTCTCGATGCCTTTAAATTTAAAATAATTATGTTTTGACCATGTGTACATTCTGTACCTTGGTTTAACATTCAATTTCAGATAAATATCTTGTGTGCATACCGCATCTAGGTCAAAATAATTAATAAAATATAATAATTAATTAAGCGGTAATAGGCAAATCATAATCAATAAAATACAAGAATAGCCAAAAATTGATTTAAGCCTTATATTAGTCAATAAAGCAACCGTGCTAGAACCACGGGACTCGAGGGGTGCTTTACACCTTTCCCACAGTCAACAAAATTCCTTACTCAGTCTTATATTTCGTAGACCATAAATTAGGAGTCAAACCTTCCTTTTGATAAGGGATTCAAGATAAAATGTGACTTGGAACACCAAAACTCAATTCCAAGTGGCGATTCCAAATAATAAATAATCCTTTTTTAAAACGTCACTTCAATTAGATAAACTCTTCTAACTCAACCTGGTAATAGGGCTGCCGGAAAAAAAGAGATGTGACAACTAGTGTGTCATACTCTCTTCCTAACCCAAGAAGAACATGGTCAATAAAATCTTGAGTAGACACTGGAGAGTTAATTGCCGCAAGGGAGTCTACTATTTTCTTGGCCTCTCAGAAATACTCATCAATAGTCATGGAATCTGATTTGCGCATGGTAGTAAGTTATCGCTTAAGTTCTATTGATTTAGCCCGACTAGCATGCATAAAACGTCATTATAAGGATATCCAAATATCACGTGATGTAGGTAAAAAGTGAACATCAACAAGGACCTCGCGAGATAATGTTGCAAACAGCCACGATCGCACACTTTGATCAACTCTGACCCATGAATGATAGAGTGGGTTAACTTGCTGGTTACCAGAGACATCATATAAAAATTGAGTTGGTTGAGGTGTAGAACCATCTACAAAGCCAAGGAGTTCATGAAAGATCAACACAGAGGTGAATTGAGTACGCCAAGTGAGATAATCTTTAACGGAATTAAGCTTGATAGTCACCAAGTTAGTGATATTTTGTGCAGCCAATACCGCGGTAGAATGAAAAGGGGGTGGAATTGTTGGTTCTATTCTTCCAGCATAAGGTGGGAGAGAAGGCAGACCAATCTATCCTATAGATGAACCTGGTCGAATACTAGGAGCAACATAGTGAAGGGGGAAAGAGTGTTGTAATGGAGGCAAAGGGGGAATTGAAACAGATGACGAAATATCCGATATTGATTGCGTAGTTGCAACAGTTGTTGTAGGAAAAGGAAGTGAGACATCTGAAGAATGGGGAGTAAGTGACTGGGAAGCCATAGTAGCGTGAAAGAGGTAAAAGAAAGTGGTAGGACAGTTGGATTGTACTGGACGTCTGATACCATGTACAGAGAAGTGATTTCAAGGCCACAAAGCCTCTCTGCAGAGCTGTTCATATATATATATATATATATATATATATATATATATATATATATATATATATATGTTGAATACAAAGGGTAAGGGAAGTAGGTAATGTAGTACAATACAAATCAAACTCTTAAGTCCTACAAATACATGGACTAGGAGTCCTAATAAACCACATATTTTAATCGAACATAAAATCGATACTTATCTCTTGAAGCGTGATTGCGATCGCGAAAAGACCTTCAAGCATGAGCAAAAACCATCCACGAGATCATCCTCCAGTTCCACGGTCTTTTGTTGTGTGACCCGAATAATGCCGGGAATTAGCGAAACTCGTGTGGGCGATTTTCTCCTAGGAAAACCGTGTGGTAAAAAACATAGCCTCCTTATGGAATAAGACCTATTTATATAGCCACAAGTTTTAGGGTTTAAAACATTTTCCTAAACCTGTTGGGTCTTCCTTTTTCACCAAGAAATACGATTCTATTTAATTCTTAATTATTCGGGCATAGCAGGGACCGCAATATTTAATTAACCAGGCTTCCTATTATGGACTTAATTCGAAATATCTGAATTAATACTACCATAATAAATTGCGAATTATTTCACTAAAAATTCGTAACTACACTTCTCAGTTCAATTTTAAAATTCTTCCATTAAACCTTATTTAACTCCCCATGTTAAGATTCAGATATTAATCAAATAAATTAAATTACTGACAATTTAATTCATTGATTATTTCCTTTAGACTTTCGCTTAATTTATTTCATGTGACAGATACAAAATCCACCTGCAGGGTTTACGCATGAAAACTTATAAGCTTTCATAAAGGTGTATCATTAATCTCTCGACCGAGACATGGATTCCATCAACTAACTATTACTTTGCCAATGTATATCATTATTGTCCAATTTACCAGGCATATTGACCCACGAAAGGATCTCGCATTTTAATAAATCAAAACAATAATAATATACACAGCTAATAATAATTATATCAAGATTAAGAGTATAAGTACATTTAATGGCTAGAGAATTTATTTTATTAAGTCAGTATAAAATACTTATCTCTACTTGGTCCGTTCAATACATACAAAATGTACTGGCACAAGAAATTGGAATTAAACCATTCCCACAATCAAGATAAATTATATTTAATCTTGTACTACAATCATTCATGATGGTTTGTCCAATTCCATCATTAGATTGTGAACATGATCTTTATACTTATAAGAACCGATGATTATAAGCTAAACTCTATACACTAAATCATCTACTATATAAATAAAGGGTACAAACGAATATATGATCTATTTAAAACTTTATTAAAATTGAATAAACAATTATTCCATAATAAATACTATATCCAAACCAAGATACATAGTTAATAGTATATATCCCAACAAATTATAGTACTGTTTATAGCTCTAGCATCATAATATGATGCTAACCTAGTCACTAGTATAATTAATCGTGGTTGAGTGGTTGAAAAACTTGTTGAAGCTTAGAGAACAAGGCTTTGTTTTCCTGATGTAGAAGAAGAGCTTTCTTGCGCAACTTTTCATTCTCTTCAATTATGGTTTTGTTCTCTTTGTAGAGCTTTAAGTTCTTCATCTTCATTGCTTTCTTCAATTTCCTCAACTTTGCTCTTTCCTTTGCTTCGTTCGATAATCTCCCACCATTCCTACATATTATAAATCAACTCAAATGTCAATTCTTTTACTTCAAACATTAAAACAGCTCTTTTCTTAACACAAATTAATATCAATTGCATAGTGAAGATAAGCGTTATTTAGTTCCTTTAAGATGAAAAAATATTATTTAAGTTGTATATACTAACAATATTGTAAATAATTTGTAAATTATTAGTGCAACTTGTAATTGGTTATAGCAGGTCATGACTATATTTTAAGTGCATATCATGCTTGTTATGAAGAGTGTTATCCGTAATTATAAATCAACTTAACCTTAACCGGACGACATAAAAGATTTGTAGATGCATAAAATTTAAACTTTTGCTACTAACCTTCTTAGCTTAAGCACATGTATCTTGGCTGTTTTAGATAACTGTGATCTGTGGAAATCAGTGTAGCAAGAGGGCTGAAATGGCTCTAACTGTGATGTTGCATGGCACATTTTGATTTTCAGTAAGAGAAATGGGAAACCAAAAGATCAGAAAAAGGAGAGGGTCTTAAAAGGGATTATGTGGTTATATATATATTCAAGTTTAAGCAGAGAAAAAAGTGCAAGAGAATGGTTACAACTTATAGCGAGGAAAAAGAACTTGAGGGGAAGAAGAGAGGAAGAGGGAGAGTTATATTTTTCCACAGCAATGATGACACAAGGTTCTCATGATTACAAAAGGCCAACAAAGTAGCCAAACCATATCTTAAGAAGAAGGAAGAAAATAAAAGAAAAAAAAGAGAGAAAGAGCAATACAAATAGAATTACTTCAAATGTCGCTTTGGACTTTTCGATAACTGTCTCAGTCCAAGATTCAAATTTGGCACACAGGAAAATAGTCCCAAGACCAAACATAATTGCATTACTGGCTACCACGAGATTTGGTGAGATAATTTGGATTCCTTTATTTCAAATTAGTATAATTTTTTATTCGAGATTTGGGATTAATAGACTTTTTGCTAGAACGCGTTTTACCTTTTTAATAGATTTACTTAGCATAAATAAAAGTAGTCGGTTCAATATAATTCAAATATCAAATGGTTAAATTTTTAAAAAAAAAAAAAAAAAGGATTACTAGCTATATATGCACAACTTGCATGTCACCTTTTTGAAATTTAGGACGTTCCCCCTTTTGGTATCATGATTACACTCCATTATCTAGTCTGCGTTTTACATTGTTTTAGTAAGGAACTGTGGAAAAAGCTAAAGAATTGCATAATTTTCATGTTTTACTAACCCAAAACAAAAGACATGACTATGGAGTATGGTAGAATTTAACGAATTGATGTAACCTTAGATCGAGGCAAAGACTATTTATTTGGTCGAGGCATTCAAAGTCCAAAAGGAAGAAAGAAAAGTTACATTGGGTTGTGGAAGTCATTGCAAATTATTGATTGATTACAAATGAAAAAGTAGTAGTATTGAAAAGAAGATGATAAGGGGAAGGTATCTTATTTGCCCATTACACTTTTCTAGATAACAACAACAATAATATATCATGTATATTCTTGATCCGACAAAAATAATATATACGTAAATCTTATCTTTATAAGTTAATAAAGTAAAATTACAATAATTATAACCGAGAATTACGGAAAGCGAAATACTAACAATAGCCAAAACAAATAAAATGAAAGCAAAGGAACACTTTTAAAGATAATGCCAATAAAATGCCTCGATAAAGTTAGATTTAGTTGTTAAAGAACGCCTTTTGGATTTAATTCCATTTAGTAGTCAAAGATGTACTTTGACTATTGTTTATTAAGGAATATAAGACGACAAAACTTTCCTAAACAAGTTAGATTTACAATATTTGTCACTAGACAAGAAACTGTTACAGATCGATTCACACGTTCTTAAGATTACCAAGAAATTTCACTTTGTTGTCAAAGTTTAGAACTTTTTAACTATTACACCGTCCCATTATAATTATCACTTCAGCTTTTTTTACGCCCATTAAAAAAAAATACAAGGCATAATTTACTGAACTCTATTAAATGTTTTTTGAGTACTATTTCTTTAACTAGTATACATACCTGTACGGTGCGCGAATCGTTTTAATATAAAAAGAGCTGAGAGAATTAATAAAAATAGATGTATATTGCATACTAAATTTATCGACCACATTCAAAAGAATTAAACGAAAAATAAATTAAAAAAAAATATCGAGTTGTCTCTATAGAATTATTGCTTGAGAAAAAAAACAATTAACCTCAAAAAGTTGAATTTCTTCATCCGCGAAAAATCAGTCAACTCATTTTTGCATTATTCTTATTTAGTATTTTTACATTTTCATGTGACATTAATATTAGTTTACTATTTGACGAAATATCATTGGTTAATTTTTAAAGAATAATAAAGATTTTTCTACTCCTGAAAATTTTAATTTATTCAATTTAATTTTATTGCTAAAATTATTCAGGTATTATTTAAATTTGTCAATAATATTTTTGAATATTATTAAAATATTCTCACATTACTTCTATAATATAAATAATTTATTTAAGATCCTATTTTGCTGCTTGAAGTTTTTAAAATTTTTAAAATCATCAAATTTTAATATGTTAAGTAAATTAATTTACTTTATTTGATATATTAACTTACTCCATAATATATATTTCTATAGTTAATTCTTTTAGTTTATGTCCGTAAGTAAGCTTATTTACTCGTTACTTGAAATTATTTCACTGTTCAATATTTTTTAATTTTGATTTTATTGATATTTCAATTACGTGGTATTATCTATTATATGGCTTTTTCTCGCCATAATTAGAAAGACACTTTCTCATCTCAAATTTTAATAAGTCTCATCCTTCTATTTTTTTTTTTTCTCTTTTTTGTTTATTATTACTTGTCATTATTGCATTATTCATTATTTTTTATTTTTACATTTTCATTTGATGTTTTATTAGTTTACCATTTGACGAAATATCCTTTCTTAATATAAAAAAGTATTATACATTCCTAGTCCTGAAAAGATAATTTATTTACTTTAATTTTATTTGTAAATAATATTCGAGTATTATTTAAATTTTTCAATAATATTTTAGATACTCTCACGTTACTTCTATAATATAAATATTTTATTTTATTTTGCTGCTTGAAATTTTTTCAATTTTCAAAGTTATTAAATCTTTAATATCTTAAGTGAATTTTTTTACTTTATTTTATATTTTAACTTATCCCAATATATAAATATTATAATTTCCTTAAAAAATATAGATATTTAAACTTTGAATTTGAATTTAAATATAATTAAATAACTTATTATTAACTAACCTAACTAATTTTATCCTAAAACTACCACGTGTTTTTCTCATATGATGTCATTTGTCATAATCCTAGGTTAGACTTTCTTCCTTTTAATAATAATATAGATAATATAGATAAATATAGAATATAGAATATAGATATGCATACCACATGTCGTTCTCCTACATTGCAACTTGTCATAACCCTAGGCTAGACTTTTTTCCTTCTTTAATGATATATAGAACATAGATATAGATAATAATGATATAGTTAGAAACAATTAACAAATTTAGTTTTGAATCTAAAGTGATAATTATTTTGAATTTTTTTTTGAGCTACAGCAGCAGTTAAAATGGGCCGAAGGGACTAGCTTTCCAAGTTTTAGAAACACTAGCCATTAATTTTTGGGATTTTTTCGTTCCTATACAATATTTGAAACTTATTTACTAAAATTGTTCTAATTTTGTATATTACCAGCCATAAACAAGGATTACTTATAAATTATATACATTCCACCTTAAAAGACCCACAATCCATTATTAGTGACTTCAATCAAGGGAATTAGTTATACCCTTTTTCTTTTTTCTCTCTTCGCTCCCCCTTCTCTCTAAATCGAACTTATATTTAAGGATTTCTGTTTGATAATTATTTCGTGATACATTCGTCAAAGCCATGAGATACTGCTGAAGTTGTCATCTTTTTTTTTTTTAAAAGAGCAGAAATTTAAATTGCAAATAATACAAGCAATAAGTCTCAGTTTTGAACATCAACACCTCTGTATCTAATGATCTCGACACCCAAGTAGTCAACAGACCCTTGGACAGCCACATGAGGCTTTCCAACTTGAACGTGAATAGCAGATACCTGGTGAGGATTGTCGATGCAGTCAGTTGAGCCACAAATTCTATCAGATTTGTAGAGGGCCCTTCCATCACCTCTTTTAGTACTATTTCGTATATATCAGAGTAACTTAGAGTGCCTGATAAGCAGTCAGATTTACCAGCAGCTCGAAGATCCATCCAAGCATCGACATCCACCAGAAACTTCTTACCTAACTCCCTTTCTTCTTGCTTCACTCCACCCAAATCATTCAGTTCTCATCAATATTCAAGTTTTTCCATTCAAACAAATATGAATCAGTGTACATGTATCGATTTGGAATTCATTCTCTACTTTTCTTTCCTTAATAAATCAACTGAGAAAAGAACAATATATGGTACATCAACATACAAATTTAAAATAAATTTTGTAAAAATGTAATGCAAATTTGAATATCTACAACAATATATATAGTAAAAATAAATTTCATACAATTAATTATATATTATACAACTTATTTATAACTTATCTACAACTTTCATACATTATTTCTACCCAGTTAAATACAACTACAATATCATACAACTTAAATATAATTTTTATACAAATTTTATACAATATGTCTTTTGTATATTTTGTATCTGATTTATACATAGTAAAAATAAATTTCATACAACTTATTTACAACTTTCATACATTATTTCTACCCAGTTAAATATAAATACAATATCATATAACTTAAATACAATTTTTATACAATATATTTTTTGTATATTTTGTATCTGATTTGTATATATTTTGTATGTGGTGTGTGCTTCTTCCTTTCTAAAATTCCAATCAAAACTTACTCTCTTAATACAATTTTGATACATATCAACAACTTTATGTAAAAAGATAGTATTGATAACTTAAATATAAGTTTTATACAACGATTCATACATTATACAACTATTTTTCAATTTCATATAACATTCAAATAAAAAATATATATAACTACAGTAGAATATAATTTATATACAATTATACTACAACTTTAGTACAATTTCGTAAGTATATTGTATGTCATGTATTCTTCTTCTTCTTTTTCGAGTTTCAATCTGAAATTCAGATAAAATCAAGTCTAATCTTCACCAAAACACCCTCAAAATTGAGATATAAACTCCAAACAATATTCCCAATTATTTGCAACAACACCCAATCCAAATAAATAATAGTTTTTGAAAACCCAAATTCAATTTCTGTCACGACCCGAATTTTTCACCTTCGGACCGTGATGGTGCCTAACATTTCACTTGCTAGGCAAGCCAATGTTAGAATAATATTAACCAATTTTTAAACAATCTTTACATTATTAATAAGCAAGGAAACAAAAGTGGAAGCAAAGTTTGAAATATAGTGAAATAATCCAAAAATGCAACGGTGTCTAAATACCATCCCAGAATTGGTATCACAAGTGCACGAGCTTCTAGAATAAATACAATTAAAGGTCTGAATAAAATAAAGTTGTCTGAAAATAAACACACAGCTAAAGTAAAAATAGACAGGGACTTCAGAACTGCGGACGCCATGCAGTTATACCTCAAGTCTCCTCTGGTAGCTGAAATCCGAGCAAGTC